ATCATCATCATCATTGCCTTTATCACCCTGCACCAAGGTATAGGCCATGGACAAACACCCTCCACCTTTCTCTATCTGGGCTAGCCTCTTGATGTTATTCTATGTCTTCTCACTTTTCTGTACATCGATTTCTGTGATTCTTCTCCAGGTTCCACGCGGTCTTCTCCTTGATCTCTTATACCCTGTGGATTCAAATCCAAAACTTTCTTTGTTATGCAGCTGCCTGACTTCCTGAGAGTATGTCCAATCCATCGCCACCGCCTTCTTCCTACCTCATCTCTGACTGGGATCTGTCTTGTTTTCCTAAACACTTCCACATTGGAGACCCTGTCTGTCCATCTGATCCTCAGTAACTTTCTAAGGCACCTGTTCAAGAAAACCTGGGTCCTCTTTATGCACGTCTGTGATGTGTTCCCTGTCTCACATCCATACAACAGGACCAACTTCACATTTGAATTGAAAATCCTCAGCGTTGTTCTAAGTGAGGTATCTCTGGTCTTTCAAATCTTATCCAAAGATATGAAAGCAGCCTGTGCTTTTCCAATGCGGGACTTTATTTCAGCACCTGTTCCCCCTTCTGTGTAAAATTATACTCCCAAGATAGCAAAAGGATTCAACGTCTTCTAGTGCATTTCCTTCTATTGTGACCTGCTCCTTTCGTTGTGCATCTGTCCTTAGGACCTTTGACTTCCCGGGGTGGATCGTCAATCCTACGGACTCCTATAGGCTGTTTAATACCTAAGTCTTTGCTTGAATCTGTTCCTGTTTACTGAAGTCTTTGCTTGAATCTGTTCCTGGGTGTGCGACAGAAGTGCCAAGTCGTCTGCAAAATCCAGATCGTCCAACTGTGTCCATGCGGTCCACTGTATACCAGTTCTTTGTCCTCTGGTGGTTTCCTTCATCCGCCAGTCGACTGCCAATATGAAAAGGAAAGGTGATAGTAAACATCCCTGTCTCACTCCAGTCTTGATGTCAAAGCTGTCAGTGAGCTGGCCATCATGTACAACCCTGCAACTTGTCACTTCGTACATGCTCTTGATGAGGTTCACCTACTTCTGTGGGATTCCGTGGTGTCTCATTATCTTCTCATAGTCAAGGAGGTTGACAATCAGCTGGAAGTTCCACTCCAGGGACTGTTCCACAATATCCTCAGCGTGACAATCTGGTCGGTGGTTGAGCGATTTTTCCGGAAACCCGCCTGTTCATCCCATAGTCTTTGAATCAGTTGCTGTCTTGATTCTCTTCAGAATGATTCTGTTGAAGACCGTACCTGGTATTGAGAGAAAAGTGATTCCTCGGTAGTTGCTGCAGTTTCTGAGGTCTCCCTTTTTTAAAGCTTTACGAGGTGTCCTTCTTTCCAATCCTTTGGGAACTTCCTCTCATATATATTGCTTGTCTCCGCTTTAATCTCCACCACTGTCTAATCCGATATCTCACCCTTCTCTTTCTTTCTCCTCCTCTCTCCCCCTTCTCTCTCTCTCTCCTTCTGTCTCTGTCTCTGCCCCCCCCTCTCTCCCCCCCCCCCAATCAAACTCTATAACAGACGATATTTCATTTTCTTTTTCGAAATTTTGGCACTCTACAATAATGAATAACCGCCTCGATATTATAGTTGGAGCCTTGAAGCTCAGGACTTCGACGCTACCTGAAAATAGCTAAGTTGTATCTTACACTAGTGGCCGTTTTGAGTAATTTAGACCATGAGGTCAGAAACCATGTTCTATCTTACTTTACTTTACTTTTATCCGCTGCTTGCATCCTTTTGGGTGTGACACGGGAAGAAAGAGATGTCTCTGTCGCCAGCCGGACAACTTGGGTCAGGGAATGCCGTGGGTGGTTAATGTTTCCCTGACTCCATCTGCTCTGTCCAAATCGCAAGACTGTTTGGCGTCGTTATCAATATATCCAAAGGATTGCATTCGAAAAAGCTTGGCTTGTGGAATTCAAACAATTTTACTTTAAATTTGTCAAAACTAAGTACTGAGCAGATGGAACTTTGTAAATCTAGGGTAGCGACCTGTGTGTAAGGCAAGGAAAGGGGAAGTTAAACTTTAGTATTTCAAGGATTTGAAATGAGATGTCGGTGTATTCACACCCCCACTGATATACTTCAGCTCATTTAGTACTGAAAAAGTAAAAAGGTAAGTAAGTGGACGCATCCGACCTTAGACGTCAGGGCAAATCCGGGCAGAGAGGTTTAATAGCATGCCAGCAGAAAGACCGAACTACCGAGATACTCGATAATAATTCCCAAAACTCGGAAAACAAACTCGCGGACGAAATTTATTTTAATCTTATATAAATTAACAAAAATGTACATTTCTATTGTCTCTTTGTGGTGGCCGAATTTTGCTATTCTAAAGGCTTTTTAATGGCTGCATCGATCGACATGCAGTTGTCGCCAAAAGATTCTTTAAAATATTCTCCAGATCATGATGCCCTTCGTTTTTTTTCAGTTTTGAGACAGTTTTGTTGCAAAAAGCTAAATGTGTTTATTTCGCCGATCGCTTTTGTAGGCCGACGCTTCTGTCTCTGTAATGTTAGAAAATCCGGCGCGGAGGTGATATTTCGCGAGGCGCATTTTGTTTTGAGAGTATAGACCTAGATCTAGACCTTCTAATTTTTGGCATCTCTCAAAATTTATTGCTTCCTTCTAGTAGAGTGTAAATATAATAGGCCAATGACTTTCAGTTGATGTTCATGCACCGATCATTCCTTTCATCGAAAGGGGGCCCAGCTAGTATTATATATTATGTATATGCATTACAATAAAACGTCAGTTTTTATCTCCCTCAGGTCAAAGAGACGGTGAGCTCTCTCCCTTCAGAACTGACAGCTGAACAACCGACAGAACAGGCGGCTCAACAATAGAGAGAGAAAGAGAGAGAGAGAGAGAGACAGAGAGAGAGAGAGAGAGAGAGAGAGAGTGAGAGAGAGAGAGCGAGAGAGAGAGAGAGGGGGGGTAGGGAGAGAGAGAAAGAGAGAGAGAGAGAGAGAGAGAGCGAGCGAGAAAGCGTGTGTATTCTTTTGAGTTTTTCTTTAAATCTCGCTTCTTGCTTTCCTCTCAATAAATCTTGCCTCAATGATAAATATTTTCCCTATTCCAACACCCCCCCCCCCTCCCAGAGTCTTGTTCTTATTGTTCCTACCTGTGGTGTTAACCATGTTCATACGTTATGTATACATGTACTTTTTTCATTGATTAAAACCAGTGATATTTCCAACTTATCTTATTTATCGTTTCTCTCTCTTTGACTTTTCTACAACTGACCGTCTGTGAAGTAGCGGTAAGGCACATGGTCGCTGTCTTAAAGAAAACGAGGGTTCAATTCCCAGAGGGGAAAAGTCTGCTAGAATGTTCTTTCGAGAGTACAAGGATGGGGTAAGAGACAGATAAAGGGGGGGGGCATACAAAACGAGAGAATGAGAATTAAGCTGTGTGTGTGTGTATGTGTGTATGTGTGTGTCTGTGTGTGTGTGTGTGTGTGTGTGTGTGTGTGTGTGTGTGTGTGTGCGTGTGTGTGTGTGTGTGTGTGTAATGGCATTTAGCCCAGGATTGCCCTGGCAGCCTAACATACAGAGTTGAGGCAACCCGCCTTCAGATTGGTTTAAATTATGGTGACGATGGTGGCATTGAACAATGATGAGGTTTTACCTCGAAGTAAATGTCAATGTTCTGTCAAATCAACAATTACTTTTACAGGCATGAAATGTTGTATATTCCTAGAGAAACACGTTTTCTATTAAATATAACAACCATTGGTCTCAAGGCACCTCTTCATCCGATACAGCCAGCAGTGACCATGTCTGCTTCGGCCGAAGTCCTTGTTTCCAGCACAATTTCTTTCTTGTCTTCAAATGATTTACACGCCCCCCCCCCACCTCCTTTCAGGCCATTTTTGCTTTGGGTGAAGACAGGAAAGACACTTTACTCGAGATTCCCCACTTCGGCAACGTGGGAATGGACACAGTGAAAGATCTTGTTCCTTTGTCGGTGATTTATCGCGTACAATCCGCAGCTTGCGCTGCATGTATGATTCCCATGAAGACGAGAATACCTCTGAGTGTTGAAGGGTCTGTTTGGGTAACAATAGATGAAAAGCAAATAGAGCATGCTGTAGAATGTGGTTGTGCGCTATATGAATACAATGATTAACAATATTTTTATACTAGCTTTGCTCAGGGTCGACGCATTGGCGTCACTGCTTTGACTGGTCTGCGCCGCGGAGGCATTTTTCATCTACATTGCTGTCTAGCCTTTCACAGTCACACCTGGCTTCTAGATATTGCTTGAGATTAGGTCTGCATTGATTAACTCCTCTCTTGATTTACATTGCTTTAGTGTATTGCTGTCTAGGCCTTAAAGGGGGGGGGGGGCTATACCCCCAAGTCAAAATTCGACTAAAAATTGTAGGCATTTTTAGCTTTCTCAGCCTCTCCTACAACTATTTCATAGCATAAGAACACCAAAAAACCGTATTTTTTCCCATACCGGGCATGTTTGTCACCGCCATTTCCTCATAAAGTCAGTATTTTATTTTTATTTATCGGCCGTTTTCTCAAAACGCGACTTTTCAATAAACTTTTTATCTAATCTGTATGAAATTTTCACAGAATGAAGAGAAGATGTAATACTAAAAATGTATTTGTTGAATTTTTGAATTTTTTGGAATAGATTTTTGTTGGTGGTGTCTGGAGTGTGGATTTTCACGGATTTTTTGCAAACTTGAATATTACCTCAGGAAAAAATTCATAAAAAATTTTCGAACTCTTTTATTTAAAAAACAAAAGATGCATGTTTAGGTCTAATGTTTGTAAACACGCATGGAAAAAAGCAATCATGAGCGATAAGTGCGGTATTCTTTACGTAAGACATGTCAACAAAATCCAATATGGCCGCCGTATCCATGGAAACAAACTTTTATCTCAAATTTGGTTGCGGATTTTAAGACTGCTGACTATGCTTTATATATTTGTGAAATTTGGTACAATTCGGTTCAGTAATAAGCGAGATAGCCTTAACAATCACAAAATACGGGTTTCGCCTTACACCATCACAAAAAAGCACTTAAAAAAATAATAATCCACGAAAGGGCTGCTATACTTTAAATATACTTTAAAAGGAACACATCGACATCTTCAAAATCACAGAGGCAGTGTCTATAGCTTGTTCACTTTCCTCTGACAAGTTTTTAAAAAATCGAGCTCATTGACAAATTTACCTACGCCCACGAAACTTTGCATGGCACTTCTACAGGTCAGACCCAAACAAAAATATATATTCTAAAAAATCTTGACCCAGTAGTTAAAAAAAAGGTTTTCCCTTTGGGCCCTATATTAAAAACAACTCTTTGGATGCATACACAGGATCACGTCTCCAAGTACTACAAGTGAGTCTCGAAAATTACTCTCCCCGTCTCTTGAATTGTGTTTCTCAGGCGAACGTTCAAGAGCGTTAATGAACTTCCCTTGTGAAGGAGAGCTACGCAGATGTGTTTCGTTTCTCAGTTGAATAATCACAAAGGTCAAAGAAGGACGGGAACTTTTTGTCAAATATATTTTTCTAATTTCAGGAAATGAATAAATTAAATATCGGGCTCCGTCATGGAGACTTATCTATCTTTTTGCATATACTTGCCGACTTTCAACTCTGTAGCTGTCGTAGTTTTATGGGAAAAGTGACACATGTGTTTCCAAGTTACCAAATATATAATATATCTATTTAGAAAAATTATAAGATTATAACATTTAAAAAAATATTTTGATAATAATAAAAATATTGATTGCTAGGTTATCTTTTATTTTGCAAACTTACAATTCTTTTACTAGAGAGTGGTCCACCCCCCCCCCCCCCCCCCCCCCACACACACACCAAACAACTCTAAGCTTGTTTCCTAAATGTATTTTCCTCCATACTAAAGTTTTCTGTTATAAATTTGAAGACAATATTTGGAAGTCAAAACAATTTGTCAGCTATTTAAGATAATTCCACAGAATGGTTTTGCTTTAATATGGCGCATTAAAAAAAATAACAACCCTTTTTTAATCTTGTCCCCATTTTTTTCGCATGACGCGCCAGCTCCACTAAAAATTGCAACAATTGCGCCATATTGCAAGCCAACAGAAGTTTGCAGATATTGGCTTTCCTAAATGTTCTTTGTCTGCTTGAGGTCATGGTTAAATTTAATAAAGAGCAGAGAGCTTTTTGTGTTTAACATTACCTCTCCACCAACCCACCATCTTTGACATTTTGTAAGTTCAGCGCACGGTAAAGGAAGAATGCTTTAAGTGCTCTCAAGACTTTCTTTGGTGTCAAGGGTAGAGAAGTTCCGTGAGTCTGGACCTATAGCGAATCAGAACTAAAAATTATTAAAACAAAACGGCCTCTTCAGGTTCAACACGCACCATTGGTAGCCCTTTAAACATCACCAAGGTGCACATGTCGATAGTCGAGTCCCATGAGACGTCTATCTGTAGCTAGGATTTCCCTACATCTCAATGGTCTGCCTTCTCAAGGCAGATCTTCACCTACAACTGCACCATTTCATGTTCGCTAGGCCTAGACAATATGGATCAGAGCATGGCAATGTGTTTAAGATTTCTCGATCGTCTTGAAAAGCGTCAACATTTCTTTGGTGACATTTGGTTCAGTACAAAGACTATTTTCATTTTTCAAATAATACTAGGCAAATTCTAAAAAATGCTGTCCACTGGACACTCCACCCCCTATTGTCTCTAAAAGCCACTCCATACTGAATATGTACCGTGTGTGTGCCACCTCTCGTGGTAAAGTGGGCCTTGTGTTTGGCCCAGGGGCGACTCGTGGGTCTAAAAAATGGGCGTGCACAATTTAGCTATCTTAGGCAGAAGATAATCAAGGGCAGAGTAAATGGGATGGTGTATAATTTTAGGATCTTTGGGTAACTGCTTGATTCCACCTTGTTGCAACACCAAATTTAACACACTTTAAAGCAGCAACTACTGAAATCTGGCCCTTGGATTTACACAGTGGACAAATTAATATGATAGCTTTTATGAAAATTTACATTTCATTCTTGTCGCGAGCAATTCACGTAAGTCCAAATTTAAAGTGTTCTGGACCTTTACACCCTCCGAAAGCTCTACAAAAGATGCACCTTTCAACATCATCAAAATGGAGTTAAAAGCTATAGTCAAGGCTTACATACAATATCCTTGCTTTTCATGATTCCTGATAGGAAAAATGCAAAATGAATTTTAGTCTCTGGCGTGAAAAGTTGGGTGGTTGTCGGGTGCTCTGGTGTGGTTTGTTCCTTCTTTCCTGTCAAACATTCGTCGTCCTTATCGCTCCTTTTTGTGTTTGTTACTCTCGTGTTACAACTCCAATCTTCGGCACGCAACATTGCTTTATTCTGTTGCAAGTGCCACAAAACTCTTGCTAAAAAATAAGGACTGAACTGGAGTGCTTGCTAAACCGCAGATTTATTAATTTCCTTTTTAAAAAATTTAATTCCCGAGCATTTCCAAGGATCGGACAAGGCTCTATGGAGGTCCATATTAATATTAGCCTGCGGTCCGTTATTCGCCCACTCTGTGCCAGAGTATGAATAGTTCGGGCCGTTATTCGCCCATTAGGCCCTACGTCTCAAGACATGATTAGTTCGAACAGTTATTCGTCCACTGTGTGTCAAGACATGAATAGTTCGGCCGTTATTCGCCCACTCCGTCTTACAGCATGACTAGTTTTTATAACGCATTGCTTGCTATCTTGGGTGGTATAACCCACTTTTGGTGGGTGGTCGAGATAACCGAGGCATTGACAGAATAACAATGTCCATTCAAGAGGGATTTAAACAAACCTTAATTGAAGAGTAAACAGCTGCCAAAGCGATAATACATATCTCCTCACACATACCCCATAGACAAGACGTAAAAATGGCAGAGTCAGCCCTGCAGGGTGGGTGGTTGACGGGTGGTTTGGAGTAGTTTGCTCCTTCTTTCCTATCAAAGATCCATCGTCTTTATTACTCCTCCGTTTTTCGTATATTTCTATCTATTAAAACCTCTTATCTTCGGCACATAATTATGCCCAAACTGTGTTACAGGCGCCGTGAAACTTACAAAAAAAAGTAAAGAAGAGAAAAACCTTAAAGATCACAAGCGAGAATAGTCGTTCACACAGCCAGTGAAGGCGTTAATGGCATCTGCTGTACTTCTTCACACAGAATTGGTCGTTGTTTTTTGTGGGGTATGTTTTTCCTTTCTTTATGTTGGAGATGTTCTGAAAACAGACACGATGTGCCTAGCCGTTACACCACAGATGCCAGTCTTGACAACGTCAAACAATAAAGACAAAATGAAAACAAAACAAAACAAAAACTACCCGACAAATGAAGTGTTGAAGAAATACCGGTGTTTTTAATGAATGAAAAAGGTAGGTGTATAGGTCACGTTTGGATATCATAAACACATCAGTTGAGAGCAATAAGAGCAAGACTCTGTGTTATTTAAAAGTTGACTACAGAATTATAATATCAAAAATGTTCATATTCGAGGAAAGTCTATTGAAAAGGTAAACGATACAAACACGTACAATCTCTCTCTCTCTCTCTCTCTCTCTGTCTCTGTCTCTGTCTCTGTCTCTCTCTCTCTCTCTCTCTCTCTCTCTCTCTCTCA